AACGTGTGATCATGTGTAGGCTGCGTCGCGTTGTACAGTTGAGAGACGGAGGCGCCAGAACTGAACTGATAGAATGCACTGCAACACGATACTACGATATTTCTTCAAAAGCAGATCGTGGAGACATTTTAATCGTCCACGATTAAAAATCGTCATATCGCACACTCCTACACACACTGCAGCTTTAACGCACGGCCGAACCGCTCTTACAGTGGCACTGCGCTGGTCATCGAAGGTCCCGCAGCGCTGCAGCTCTCCGTACAGCTCTCCTTTAGGAGCGAACTCCAGGATGAGATAAACGCGCGCCGTGTCGTGGAAGTAGCCGTAGAGGCGCAGGATATTGGGATGTCTGAAATAAAAGAAAACAAGAGTCGGTTCACAACACAGAACTTTCCTAAAGCATGAGTCGCACAAATCTCGCCGGATCTTGGTTTGATGGATAACGAGTCTTTAGGGAGACTCGAGCGCAGAATCACACACACGCGCTGGCTGTAAAATGTTAGAGAAATAAACATGTTAACTAAAGAAATAAACCTGGTACACTTCTCTCATGAAACAAATGTATCACAAGGCTGAATATTAAAGACTCATGGGAACAGATAAAGCAGTGTGTCAAAGAGTTTTTTACATTTCTTTGATTTAGAAATGTTTTTGTTGCAGGGTTTGGAAGCGTGCATTACTTCAAATCCAGAGAAAAACTGAAGAAAAGGGACTCAAAAACACGCTTTGAAATCGCTGGTGTTTCTGACGTCACAAACCACCTTGTAACCAATCAGATCAACGTGTGATCGACAACCAGTGGATCTCTGAGTGAGTGGAGGCGGGTCTCCGTTGCATATTCAATGATACTCAATCAAGATCACATTTGCTCTTCAGAGCTTCTACAACAAGTAGAACACAAAGATATCAGTAAAAAGTTACACGTATGACCAACATGAGTTTTCAGCGGGAAATGTCTGAGCGCGTAACACACTTTTGTTCTGACCAACTATGAGTAAATCACACTGATTAAATCTAACGATCACTCATATCACGGCAAACCGTGCAAATTATGCTTTTATCTCAAATTGTTAATGTTCAACATCAGCGTTGCGTGACGACGGCCCTTTGCATTAAGATTCTTTATGAATACGGGCCCAGATTTTGATTAAGATGTATACATGGTATAAAACAGATGCCATCACACACACACACACCTGAGATGGGACTGTATCTCCACCTCCCGCCGGAGCTGGTGCTCCACGCCGGCCTTCTCCAGCTGCTTCTTAAACAGGACCTTCAGCGCCAGGATGAACTTGGTCTGGCGTTCCCGGGCCAGATACACACTCCCAAACTTGCCTTTGCCCAGAGCTCGGCCGATGTCGAAATTCTCCAAACTCCACGCTTTCCTAAAGAGCAGACCAAACACACACACACACACACACTGCCATGACCGTTCCTGAAGGATTAAACAGCAACTCCATGAACTGTAAGATGAGGATTAAGGTTTACAATACTCAAACACACATCTTCTCCTAATATTAAAGTTATTGAATGTTGTTTATGTGTGTGTTTAATCCGCTTTAACACACACCGTGTGTGCGTTGATAAGTGGACAGCATTGCTGAGTATTTCCTCCTTAAAACTGCAGTGAACCAAAGACAGTCTCAAAAACACGCTTTGAAATCGCTGGTGTTTCTGACGTCACAAACCACCTTGGAACCAATCAGATCAACGCGTGATCGACAACCAGTGGATCTCTGAGTGGAGGCGGGGCTCATCTGCATATTCATAGAACCGCACATACTAAATGAGGCGAGGGTGTCGAGTTACATTCAAGATATTTTAAGATGTGAAGATTTGTTTAAAGGGTTAGTTCACCCAAAAATGAAAATTCTGTCAGTGTTTACTCATAGAGGTTTGGATTTGGAACAACATGAGGGTGAGTAAATAGTGACAGAATTTTCATTTTTGGGTGAACTAACCCTTTAAATAATCATTTTGGGGCGATCAAAGCTGACTTTTAAGGGATATAATTATTGACTACAAACAATTTCAGCAACTGGTATAAATAATGGATTTAAAAGAGACGAAAACCTCTGAACATTGGGAATGAATTCATGGAGTTTAAGAATTTGTAAATAACTTACTTTGCATTATTGGACATGCCGTTAGAAGGAGTTTCTGGAAAAGAACAGAAAGAGTCATTCTGACGTCCTCAACATTAAAGGATGACATTAGAGAGGGATGCGTCCGTGCTTACGGTGAGGTTTGTCCGGTTTGCTGGGTTCGGGAGCTTTCTTAGTCTCGGCTACAGGAACCGGCTTCGGCTTGTGTAGATCAGGATTGGCGTTCTGGTCTCCGGGACACGAGCTCTTCCCCAGAGCCGGAGCTCCAGCGGGTTTCTGCTGGCTGGCAGGGCGCTGGATTCCCTGTGCCACCCCGAGAACACGCGTGTGCGGGGTCGACGCGGCCTTCTGGGTCACAGGGACTCTTCTGGGTCCAGAAACCTGCAAAACATCCCAATGTAAAGCAGCTTTATTTATACAGTGCTTTCACCAACACAGGGTTTCAGAGATAACAGGACAATAATGCAACGAGTTTGTTTCTAGAAGTCACAGTCCAGCTTAAGGAAGTACAGTGATGCTTCATTTCTGTTGTAAAATAGTTATTAATTTAGTTTATGGCGGTTCTGGAGAAAACAGTGATGTCATCGTCCAGCTCTCATATAATGGTGTCAATCAAAGAGATCAATAATACTGTTGAATATTGAATTAATTGTACAATGAAACAAGTAGTAACAATTAAAATTGCAACACTGAAAACACTCCTGTAACGTAAGATGGACGTCAGATTTTGGCAAATAATCTTTGCACTGATAAGATTTCTCATCAATATCCCGCATTTCTTAGAATACAGAGGATTATAACAATATACAGTTTAATAATACCTTCGCATTTTCTTCAGGTCGTTGAATCTTCAGATCTTTGCTTGATTTGGTTCTTGAAGCGGTTTCCATATTCTGAGATTGAACAATGACATATTAATTAATTAAATACATATCTTACCCACGTCAGAAGAGAAAGTTAGTGTAATATGACGATAAACTATCACACGATGGTCTCCGGTCAGATGACATGCAAAGTAAGGTTTGCACCAAAACACATATTTATAGATATAAATAAATTCAATTCAAACGTATTTTTGCGTCGTTGTGACGCGTTACCTTCGTTATCCGTTTCCTCACGACAAATCCCCCGCAAATCCGGCAGAAACACGACGATAACCTCCTCGCCGAGTTAATAACCCGTTACCATCGACTAGATCAGTCGTGTGTGATAATTAACATCGATAAAACTCTTCAATAAAATATATTTATCCCTCGAGAGGACGACACAATTCTCCTCAGCTACCGTGAGTCTGGCCTGTTTAATTTCAAACGTCCCACTTTTAAATACCTTTAAATATAACCCGATTTTGATTGGTCAGAAGGTACAGTAAACTGGAATGCTATTGGTTTTTGCAGACTGCGTCACGTGACGCTAGGGCCCCGCAAGTGATGCCGGGAAAACGTGCCATTGTGATGCGGATGACCAGCAGGGGGCGCGAAAGATCGCCGGCTACAATGTAACGTCCATAGACGGTAAAAGGAAACATCTAACTCGAGTACTGACACTTTGTAGCCGAGGCCGAATTTGTAATTTTTTTATTTTATTTTATTTACTTATTTTTATATATTTTTTCAACCTTAATTGATATGTGCCTTGCTTAATACTCATTTACCAGTATTTATCAATGCCATTGTAGATGTATATTCTGTTTTTGTTGTGTTCTTATTGTTCGAAATAATAAAAAAAAACTTTGTAGCCGCGACCTTCCTCTGCGTGACGTCATAACGGCTAAATAACGATGTCTTATTATATGGCTCTTGAAATTTTTCTTTTCTGAAAAAGATGTCTTTTTTTATTTTAATAGACAAAGTTTACCTCCAAATGTGGCCTTTGTTGTTAAATTATGGGGAAATATCATATACACAAACAAAAATGGGCTAAAGGAAAACCAATTTTTTTTTTATTTCAGATAGAAATGAAAAATTATTGTGAGTTACTTCTTGGGTTAAAAAATAGTAAAGCAAAACGTACGAGGTCTTTATGTGAAGCTTTTATGTTATTTACTTCATGATCTCATACCGGTTTCTTTTTTTGTTTCTTTATTGTATTATTATTTTAATTTATGTTGTATTTTTTGCTATTTACTGTAATGTATCATTATTTCAATTTAAAAAAAAGGGAAAAAAATGATATGGCTATTCTTTCTTTAAATACTAATTATGAATTGATTTGTTTATTTTCTGTACTTATATTGAAATCAAAATAGTAATAATAACAGCTAAATAACGATGTAGTTGCATTAGAGCCTTATTTGTTATGGCTCTTCTTTCTTTAAGTATTCATTATTGATTTGTTTTCTTGACTTGTATTTCAATTAATATGTATCTCTCTCTCTCTCTATATATATATATATATATATATATATATATATAAAAATCGTGACCTTCCTCTGTGTGACGTAATAAAGGTTCAATAAGTATGTAATAGCATTAGAGCCTAATTATGGCTTTAAATACTGATTGATTTTAGCTTTCTTTACTTATATTTAATGTGTATGTATGTATATATATATATATATTGTGTAAACCAATCCATTTAGTTACCTTTTTAGATATGTTGCTATAGTTTTAAATGTGGTACGTTATGCCCTTAATGTCTAATAATAAATAAATAAATAAAAATTGAGCCTCATTTATCTGTATTAATTCAGCTCAAATATAAAACAGAAAGTGGTGTGGTTTGTAGAAGACTTCTAAACTACTTCCACACACACAGATCTCATCAAATATCTTTCTCTTTTTGTGAAACATTTATTCTACAGTGTAAATAAATCCCCAGAAGTGTCCCGTTCTTCTCCCCATGAAACAGCTGCTGTTCCTCCTTCAGTTCACAGAACAACACGAGCCACGGTTCAGTATGAAGGTTAGTTTATTTCTACAGCTGTAAACAGCTTTGGCTGTTCTGAGAACAGATGATGGACGAGATCACCCCGTTTCGTCAGTACCGGCACAAACTAAAAGATTCTAAGTTGCTTCTGTCAATATTTAATACTAAGTTTGCCAGTAAACAAATATTTACATTTAATATAAATACGTTGTTTAAATGCCGTTATGTTTCATTTTAGTTCATCACAATAAACCAGTTAAACCCAACAAAAAATGCATTATTGAGAAGGAAACAAAAACACAGCGTTCTGTGTGGCGCTGCGTAAAGATGTCCGTGCTGAGCATTAACACACACACACTACGGTCTCCACGGTGACGTCACGCTCAGTGCCGCATCACTGCATCAACAGGTTCTGGACTGATGTTCATCTGCATACTGGTTCGGATGCTTGAGTTGAAATTCCATAAATCTACAAAATATAAATAAATAAATAGAATGTATTTCCCCTCTTTACGTCACACACTGCAGAAGGCACATCTCTGATGTTTCCCATCACACACACACTGTGTCGTCCTCGCGTCCCGATTCAACATCCCATCCGCCTCCTGTTCGGTCAAACTCAAAGTGTTCACTGCGGATAATTAGCAGTGCGTTGAACATTCTCGAGTCACATGATCATGATGATGTCATTCTATTCTCTTATAAGTCATTTAGTGCTCATTTGTTTTTTAAGGAGGCCATTCTGAAGAATCCAACACACACACACGTCTGATGGTCCTGGATTAGTTTGTTCCCCTCCGTGTTTTAACAGTATAATAGTAATATAATAAGTTATAATATTGCTAACAATTTCCAAGTGCTGGTGAAGCGATGCGTCGTACGTCTGCAGTCCGGGAAACGTGGGAAGTTTCCTCTGAGCACCATCGTTCAGTCCCGTTACACTGATTCATTAAACTACTCTACTCGTGGTGGTGTTGTGCGTCAGCAGCTCGCGGCCCGCAGCCTCTAATGTAGACGCTTGCACACGCGGGACCCGAGGAGGAGGACACACACGAGAGGAGAGCGCAGGATGGCGTTCACTTCTCAGTGACGGCGGCGGCCATCGGAGTCCTCAGGGTTCCTCTCGCTGTGATGGCCAGCTCCTCGATCTCAGCATTCAGGCGGCGGATCACCCACTCCATCGCCTCACGACCCTGCACACGAACACACACACACGTCAGAGAGAACTTGATAAGATATTTCACTGTAATAAACAATAAAATCAATGATGCAAACGTACATTCACAAGTCAGGCTGACCGTAACATCTTTTAGATCTCGATAGATAGATATACACCATAATATGTCTGCGATAATAAATCCTCGTCAAGCATGGATCGGTTTAAAAAGGATTGGTTCATCATGCTTTCGGCGTTCGATCAGGTCTGAGAACTGTGAGAGGTTGGTGTTATGGTTTTCTTGGAGTCTCAAATCTTGTATTTTAGAGTTATTTACCATGTATGGACAGCACTTTGGTCCAGTCTAAAGGTTTTGAAAGTGCTTTGTAAATAAAAGCTGGGTTAAGTTAGGACAGCTATATTTCTGGAGCACTTTGTACAGATATTTCACTGTAATAAACAAGAAAACAACAGAATCAATGACGCAAGCTTAGTCAAACAAGACTGACTGATAACTGGAGGAATGGACTGGGACTGTGAGCCATTCACTGAAAAGAACTGACACTCGATTCACTCAATAATCTGTCAGTATTTAGCAGTTATTAATAACCATTTTTCTGCTTGACCAATGTGACTTTTATCTTGACATTAAAGGGGAATTTATTTTGACATTCTCCGTCTTCATTAATGCACTGCCTCTGTTTAACAGTTCCGTCAAATACATACATTATTAGACAAAACTGTGCAAGAAAGAAATTAAATGGATTAAAAATATGCATTCAAGCATTTGCTTTTCTATTATTACTAATTAATTACTTTGTTTTATTTTTTTTAAATGTGAGTCCCAGTGCACACATATTTACCAATGATTTATTAATAGTATTACAGAAAGAGTTGCCACATAAGGTTTAAATCTGTTTTTTTTCCATGTAATTCATTTTCAACTTAGTTAGGATTTAGTTAGGGCATTTAGGATAGTTTTGACCTTTCAGAATGTGTTATGCATGCATCGTTTAATTGAATACAGTTTTGTGAAATACATCAGCATCAAACAGATCAATATTAGTCTAGCGCTACGGCAGACGAGAGCCGTGGCGCTGGCGAAACACAGATAAAAGGAGAAAAGGGATATTAACTGTATAAATCTGCATGACTTTGAGGCCTCTGATATATCCAGGTTCATTTAAAGACTTTTAAACTCATCATGAAAGGGAAGTTGCGCTAGTCTTTTCTCCTCTAGTGTCGCATATCGCAGTGAAACGCTTCTGGGACAAGAACACATGTGGGCGGGGCTTGATTGTGTCATGTGAGTGACAGGTTGCCTGGTGTTTTGGTTTTCTGACCTTTCCTGCATTGGCGGAGATGGTTGATGCCATGAGTCCCTCCAGATAGCTACTGAGACTGACACCCTTCACAGAGATGATGGCCTCCTGCGTGAGCATCGTCCTGTAGGAGCAGATCGTCAACACACTGGGATTACACACACAACACTGTACATGCTGTTTACAGGGACAGTTCAACACACACATGATCAGTTTCATCATTTACTCTTCCTTATGTCATTATAAGTGCACACCTTTTGACACACCAAAAACTCAAATGCACACTGTTTCCATTCGAATGTGCAGTTTTTCCATTTTTATGTGACAGCCCTAATGTGCAGAATGTGTAAGTCACTGTATTGAACGGAGAGGGACTCTTACTTCTCCGGGTCCTCCGGGTGCGGGCGGTACGTGAGCCGCTCGTCCACAGACACCATGTTAGTGAAGGTGATCTACGGTGAGGAAACAAGGCAGGAGATCAATATGACACATCTATAAAATATGCAAACATAAGAGAAACCAACGCCCTCCCATAATGCAACTCTGTTATGCACAGACTGGCCTTGTCTCATTCCAGATGGCATTCACACAAACACAACTGCTAAAGGCCAGAACATGAACGAATGAGAAAAGGTGTGCTGACAAACCAGAAACGTCCTGACAGGGTCACATGAACTTGATCTCTTGGCAACTGTGCTGCTATAATGATCTAACCCCATCCTCCCCTACGGCCAGTTTCACCCAAACTCATTTTCCAAACATTTTAAAAATTGAGTGTTCATTAGAGGGGTCAAAGACAGCAGGTTACAACGAATACACAAAAAACAACTGAATGGATTCGAGGTTGAGTGGTTGAAATTTTAAAGTGTCACAAATCCGTTGCTCTCGGGTCGACCAGCTAAAACTTTACCAAGAAATTATTTTATAATGTGTACATGTGTGTGTGAATGTACACTGACGATAGTCTGGCTTTAGGACCCAGCGGAACAGCTCCTCTGCTCCATATACAGATATAAGATCATCTACAGCCATCTAATATCATGTGTTATTATTATTTATTTCCCACATGAGGATCAGCAAAGACTCCCGATTTAAGATATTTAGAGCTGAATTAAAAGGGTTATTTGGAAATTAAGTTGAAAAAATGTGAGGAATGTGCTTAAATTACTATTTATTTATTTATTTATTATGTATTGATCAAATCAAGTCATAGGTAAATAAAATAATAAAAAAGTCTTCCAAAATTATGCATTACAAAATAGAAAAAATATATCAAAATTCAATAAAAATAAGCTTTCTGAAAAAAAAAAAAAATATATATATATATATATATATACACACATATATATACACTTTTAGAGCTTCGGGTCATTTTGACCCGTGAGGGACGGATTTGTTACAAAGTGTGAGGAAACATCATTTTCAATTTCAAAACCATTTTCACAAGATGAATTGAGTGATTAATGATGATTACTAAAATATGTGATGGAGAAAAAAGGCAATGGGACAATGGTGTATGTATCCGGTAATGAATGATCAGGGTTCAGCATGTGTACCAACACTGATGTCACTTACATTAGTCGACTGAAGCTCAAAGGTTTTCTCTTTGGGATCGACTATGGAGTGCTCCTGGATGTACGTACATGTCCGTGTGTTGCCAATTATCTGTGGAAGAACAACACAGGGCGTTGAGTCTTAATCAAACCAGCTGTGATCTCAAGCCACATTCAGTTTTAGCTCTAGTTTCACTCAATCTGCCCTGGGAAAACTCTAACTCACGAAGTAAAATTCTAAACATGGGAATCCAACGTGTGATGAACTCAAAGATTAGGATTCGCATCACCAGAAAAATGATCAAAAACGTTTCATTTGATCCATGTATATTTTAGTTTAGTATATTTATAGTTTTTGAAGACCTGGAACTAAAGAAAATTACATCACTGTTGAGTTAGTAAAGTATTTTATGTTTTCTGAAAGAGTCTCTTCTGCTCACCAAGGCCGTGTTTATCAGAAATACAGTAAAACAGCTGATCCATCCTTCTGAAATCACTCCAATATGATGATCTGATGCTCAAAAAACATTCATTATTATCAGTGTTGAGAACAGTTGTGCTGCTTCAGATTTCTGAACACACTGTATTTTTCAAGAGTTCAAAAGAACAGTGGTTATTTGAAATATAATCTCTTGTAAAATTATAAATGTCTTTACTGTCCCTTTTAGATCAACTTAATGCGGTCTTGATGAATATAAATAGTAATTTGTGGGGGGTTTTCTCTCTCTGCTTTTATTTTGACTTACCCCAAACTTAATAATCATAAATGTTTGTTGATCATCAGATCCTCATATTAGAGTGATTTCTGAAGGATCATGTGACACTGAAGACTAGAGTAATGATGCTGAAAATCACAGGAATAAATTACACTTTACTATATATTCACATAGAGAACAGATGATTTACACTGGAGTAATATTTCACATTTTTTACTGTATTTTTGATCAAATACACAGCCTTGGTGAGCAGAAGAGACTTATTTGGAAATCTTTAAAGATCAGTAATGTGTTTAATAACAAACAAGAGGTGTAGGAATCAAAGGGGAAGTTGTGTCGGTCCTGAGCAGAATGAATGTAAAGCATTGAGGTCAGGAATCACGTCAGACGTCACCGCAGAACAGAACAGACCATTCAGAAACACGACACCGGGACGACATGTGCCGAGGACTAGCCAGACCGATATAACCCTTCAGCCGGGTTGTCTAGGGGTCAAAGACGAACAGAGCTGAGCTGGGATACCAGAGCAGGATTTCACCTCGGCTCAACGGTTTCCACCAAACGTGACGAGAACGAAGAGAGCCACTGAGTTCCTGTTTCAAGATTAACATCAGCTGCTAGCTTAAACGACCGACCAGTCTAGCGCTGCGTCTCAATGTCCACACTGAGATTAGAGTAATTGTTGAGGAGTGTGTGCCAGAAGTCCCACAATCAAAAATTACCCACAACCCACTGCGCTTGAGGAACTACAAACACAAGTAAAAACTACAAAACATGGCAGATATGCGCAACCGACGGCAAGAGGTTTGAGTGACTAATCGAAGTTTAACCCGACACAAAAATATTCATGTAATGTTATCCGTGTTACATTTAATCAATGCAATAATAATTCATTACATTTATATAGCGCTTTACATAGAGGGGAATCTCCTCAACCACCAGTGCATCATTATGGATTAATATGAGGAGAGTCTAGGCATGAAAGACCCCCGACTGCAGATCAACGGGATTCTGCATTTCTCTCCGACACAGTAGGAAATAAAAATTAGGATTTTATCTTTGACAGGTCAGTTTACTGTGACGGAGAGCAACCGTTAAAGACGCGATTGTATGACGTGATAGCAGGTCTACACTCATCTACTGTACTTTTAGGGTGTAGTATAAGTAGGCATATTGAGACGCAGCATAGGAGAGAACAGGAAGTGTGTACCGATCTGACGATGGACGGCAGACCCCACTCGGTGCTGAGGAGGCGTTTGCTGTGCAGGCGTCCCTGCTGGTCCACGTTACGGTCCAACACGTCCACGCCGAACACGCTGGGGTTCATGGGGTTCGGGTACTTCTGCATGGCGGCGTTGGTCACGGTTTCCCATGGATGACTGTGAGAGACAAAAGCAGAAATTGGTTTTTATTCACGCTACAGAGTGTTTCAGAGCAGCTTTACTGAGATAACAGGACAATAATGCAACAGAGTTTGTTTCCGGAAGAGAATAGCATCAGTCCAGCTTGAGTAAGTTCAGCGATGCAGTCGACAGGACGCTCGACTGGCAGAGATAAACGTCACATTCGGTGGGTGCTCGTAACTTTTTGAAGATCAATAATATTGTGGAATTTTAAATGTCCCCAACTAAGCAAGCCAAAGGTGACAGAGGACCCAAAACTATCAGTGACAGAATGGAGAAAACCCTGGTGATAAACCAGACTCAGTCTCAGTTCTGCTCTGGCCAACAAACAACAGTGTGTGATTATGATCAGGCATTACAGGTCAGAGGTCAGACTGGATCAGAACACTATCCAGTTCCCTCTTATCGAATGTAAAACTGATCTAGAAAACAGCAAACATTAAGGGCGCTTAATTGCGCAACAGCTGTGTGTGACGGTGTTATATAACTGTGTGTATGCTGCACGTGTGTTTAACTATAACGACTGAGGAGTGTCTCCAGTTAAAGACTTCACATGAGCTGCGATGTGATCATCACGAGCCGTTTCATTCAACCACGGACCCAGAAAGAGGAAGATCAACTTCTGTAAACAGCAAACACATTCACAGACACTTCTTTACGAGATGCAGTGAGAGACAGCTACAATTGTCTAAATATGAATTATGATATTTAAAAAAAAACTGATAACATCAGAAGCTAGGAATGAAGCCGAATATATTCTGTGTACAATCTTAGTTATATTTTTAACACAATGCTTTAAAAAACCTTGAATTCCTGGACGTATCATTACTACCTCAGTTCTCTATTGTTGGTTTGTTTGTGTTGGCAGGGAAGCTCTCTAAACAGACAAGTCAGCCTTGCTTAATGAAAATTATCTAATATGTGTGATATAATTGTATTTAAACTCATCATGAAAGGGAAGTTGCACTAGTCTTTTCTTCAAAACAGGGAACATGAAGTTAAAAACGACATATAATAAATTATAAACACTGCAATTTCCATTAAAAACTAGAATTTCATGGTGACTTTAAAAGGGTGTATTTATGATTAATGATCAATATGTGGATCTGACTGTGTGTAAAAAGGGATTGAGAACACACTTTAACCAGAACTAAACAAACTTCATGTTTTTGGAAACACTGGAACAAAAAGTGTGTTTGTTTTTTTAATTACACTTTTGTAGCTGTTTATATATATATGTTTGCGTGTTTTTCATTGATATGGACCCTTGTGTCTGACATTAAGTGAACAGTTTGACCGTTCGCTCCTGAAATAGGCCTAGTACATTCCTCATGTGAATGGTTGCCTAGGAGACCGTCAGAGGTCATGTGACGCGTGACGTCATGTGGAGGAAAGGTCACAGCACTCGCCAAGGAGAGTTGAGTAATGTCCAGATTCACACGTGTGGGTTCAAAGGTCAATGTCCAGCGCAGCTGATGTGATGTTATGACTCAACATCATCACTATCAGTAATCAGGATCAGCTTGAGCGAGTGTTTGTCCTGCTGACCCACTGAAGCAAAACTACTGATCAGGACCTTTACTGTCATTTGGTGAAAGTCTGATTTTGACCATTTAATAGAGGCATTAAAAAACAATCAAATGCAAAGATAATAAATAAAAAAGAATACACAACTAGTAATAATAAACAATACACAATACAGAAAGAAACCTCAGAAATTATGATATGTCTATTCAATACAAAGATGCACCAATATTAAAATTTTGGCTGATACCAATAATTCTTTACATTTGAAAGCCGATAAGTGATATAATTGCATCAACATCTAAATTAGAATTTTTTAGAGCCTGATTGTAAAAACAAAAGTGTCACCATTAAAATCCACGTCCCAAATGATGTTGTCATAATTTTATATAGCCGATATGACAGATTGGCGCTGCATGTTGCACTGCATTTCCCTTTTTTGAAGCGATTCTAATAATATTTTAAGCTATTTAAAACCCTCATGTTGAACCACACAATAGCTGCATCTGAATTGTCTCAGCTGAAGGAAATAATCCATTATTTATCGCCTTTAAAACATCACACAATTTTTCTCATCGGGCCGATAATGATAACATTAAATATTAGCGGCTGATGTCGATATGGTGGCCGATATGCTGAGCATCCCTTGAGTATTCTCCTATGTTTAGCCATTAGCCTATTACTTATGTTATTGTTTTCTTGCAAAGAATGGAAAAAATAAAAAATTTCACTATACTACAGTTTAGATGACATAAAATAACAGAAGTTAAGTTACACTGTAAAAAATTATTGTGATTTTAACGGTAAAAGACGCTACAGTGCAAAACTGTTAATTGGTTAACAGATGGTTTCCTTAATATATACGGTAAATAACTAATAGATCTAACCGTACATTTAATTTACAGTTTTTGAAAGTGAAAAAGAACAACTCGTTGTATAATTTACAGTGAAAAAACGTAAATTGACATTCCCACAATTCCTTGCATGACACTCCACATTTGATTTATCTTTGTTGAAATAACGGTTTCTTTTAGTTCTTTACCAATTAGTTATGTACATTAGGGTTGTATGTTACATTTAATGTTATTATAAATTTCAAGTTACCATGATGGTGTTTATTGTTTTTGTGAATGAAACTGCAGCTTCTATATAATAGTGATGAGCTTTGATTGATCCTGTGACTCATCACTGCTGTGGTGATTGTTGGTTGTCAGTGTATTAGAATGGTACAAAACAGATAATAATACTTCAATAGGTTGGTAAATTACCATTAAATCAGATAATGAAACACGGTTTATTACTGTAAATGCTGAGTTAAGTCTGTAAAACTAGTAACGTAGATACCGTATTTTTGACGGTAATGTTCTGGTAACCACAGCTACCAGGTTTTTTTTTTTTGTAAAAACAATTATTTTATTTTTATTTTATTTTACAGTGCATCTCTTAAAGAGATAGTTCACTTCAAAATGAAAATTGTGTCATTATCGTTCTTCTGCTGAACACAAAGGAAGATCAGTAACCAAGCAGTTAACTGGACCCATTGACTTACATAGTATTTTCCCCCCTACTATTTAAATCAATTAACGGTTTGGTTACTGACATTATTCAAAATGTAGTCCTTATGTTCAGCAGAAGAAAAATAATCATACAGGTTTGAAACATCTTGAGGGCGAGTAAGTTAACTTCTTGTATGATGACATAATTTTCATTTAGAAGTGAACTATCCCTTTAAGTTAACTCGCCGAGTCCTTCAGCTGCCAAGGACATGCGGGGTAGATTGTGTAACTAACCGGCAACTAGCTCACAACAACTCTTTCTCTAATTTACTTAATAAACACTTATTCTTATGGTTGCAGTCATTATTAGTTAGTTAACGTTATACTTATTACATTTTTAATCATGCCGTTAAAAGTCATACACTTCAGATAGCCGCATTAGCATAACTTAATGTATACACTATCGCTTTTACACCATCACTTTTAATACTCTGACGTACAATACACAATACAACCACACATACATATATATATATATGTATATTATTAAAAACATTATTTTTATAAAACTGAGTGTCTGACAGGAAAAGCCGTTAGAGAGATTGGCGCGCCTCGTGCACGGGTAAACCGCTGAGCAAATCAGTGGTAATTCAAACTCTCAAATTGGCCTTTCAACTCATTAAAATAAAGCATAAGACATTCACTAACTTGAAAATGTGCTCTGACGTCCAGATCTTCATGGTTCTTGGTGTTTTTGTGGATGTTTAATGCGCGAGGACCGCTTGGTGACACCGCGCCGCTTCCGCCGTGAGTTCCAGAACACTGAGGTCAGGCCACGCCCACCACTGACGCAGGCACTGGCGCAGGACCGATCCAGCCAATCAGAGTTGAGGGATCTGAGTGGAAAACCTCGCGCCCGGAGAATGTGCGCATGTGTGTACGGAACATTACGGAACATGGGAACATTACATGAGAGGAAGTGTGTGTTGCATGATTGCATCTCGTGGTTCTAGTGCACATTCTGTCAGGTGTGTTTATAGAGCTCACACACGACCTCAGACTGAAGGTTATTCAGTCTTTCTGATTCACTTTATAGTAGAAAATCTACTAAAATCACTAAAACTGCAAAATCAAACTGACAGGTTTATAATGTTATAGTCATTGGTCTATGTGTAATATTTCTGGTGGAATCTGTTCAGTTCAGGTGTGTGGAAACTTTAACAAACTTTAAAAAAAAAAAACAATATCCGATTTTATGGATTATTAATTCATAATTCATTTCTTGTTTCAGGCGCCCTCTGCTGCTGATGATGATGTTTCAACATAAGTTTTATCTAAAACCTATAGGCTATAGTGTAAAATACAATACAGATTTAGTACATTAAGCAGCTTGAATTAGGCCATATGAGTAATATTAATAATAAAGCTGCTGGAAACGGTATAGTAATGCAGGACATCTATTACAGGGACTTTCTAAATATTTAAATTATATTGTTTTATCATTTGAATAGGCCTAATTATGTATAAATATTGAATATTTCAGGGTGAAGAAATTTAATCATCCCTCCCTTTAAAATGACAGATTTACTTTTACTAATATTATATTTCAGGTTCAGTCATTGTGAAGAGAGTAACGTCGCTGTGACTAACTGGGATGTTTTACTGTTATCATTTCTGAATTTATATATATTGTGATTGTGTGTTCAACATGAGGAAGCGTCTCTGACCTTTTGTTGAACAGTGACTGATATTCCCCAGTAGGTGGCGCTGCTTTCTTACTGTGTGTGTGTGTGTGTGTGTGTGTGGTAAAGGACGAGGATCACGGGTCTTCTCAAAGCAGGAGGACGACAGCAGCTTCTCCAGATGAAAGACAGAGAGGAATCACACACACACACACTCTCTCTCTCTCTCTCTCTCTCTCTCTCTCTCTCTCTCTCTCTTTCTCTCTCTCTCTCTCTCTCACACACACACACACACACACACAACATCCTAACCTGAAACACACTTTATAAACTCCAATGTTCATATTCCATCATATTCAATCTAACTCTATAATATTCTATCCAAGATGACACTGTAAAAAAATATTTTCATAATTTGTTATAGCAACTTTTTTTCTTTTGTCTAATCTACTTAGATAATTAATGTGGCTAAGATAACACAACGTTTATGTTGATTAAATCAATCTTTTTAATTTCAATGAACTCAAATTCGAACACAACCAGATTATTTAATTTTTAAATTAAACCAACAATTATTTGTTTAGTGTCAGCCCAGATCCGGCCCACATCTGGTACGTGTTATCTGGGCCGACACTACACAACAAATGATTATATATATAAAATTTTAATTATTTATTTATTATTATATTGCTGTCTGGGATATTCCTCTTTATTTTCAATTTCTTGCACATTATTTTTTCCCATTTTGTCTGTAATATCCAATATTGTAAATGTTAATAATTATAAATTGATAGTAATTATGGTTAGATTTATTTCATTATTTTATATTATACAGATGATTACATTCATAATAATTTATATGCATAATTTATTTTTTAAATGATAATTTTATAAATGTTGCATCCCCTTGAAGCAATGTTTTTTTCATACCGATTTGATTTTTAATTTTTTAATAAGCGGTGTTTTCTCAGTGATGTCATAAAAGAACCTGTTTTAGTTTCTTAAAGAACATTTCAGGGATCAAATCTTAAATGAACCTTTTTTTTTTTTTTAAGAACTTCGCAACGAACTCTCATCATAGAACAGAGCAAGGCGACCATTTGAGCTTATAAAACTTAAACTTTATTATTTATTTATTAAATGAGCGATCGTTTCGCTTGATAAGACCCTTATTCATTGTCTGGTGGCGTTTAAAGTCCTTTGAACAGTTTGCACTGAAACTGTCTTTTGGACCTTGAACCGTTTGGTTCCCATTGAAGTCTATTATATGGAGAAAATCCAGGAATGTTTTCATCAAAAACCTAAATTTCTTTTCCACTGAAGAAAGAAAGATATGGATATCTTGGATGACATGGGGGTGAGTAAATTATCAGCAAAAGTTTTTTTTAAAAGTGAACTACGTAAAGGATCCTCATGAACCATAAATGGTAATAAAGAACATTGTTTTTTTAAGAGTGTGAAAATATCCAGAGAATTGAAGGGCTTTCTTGAATCCTCTCCTCCAGACAAACGCTCTCAGACTCATTTCCAGCTCATCATCTGACGGGATCAGGGCAGGATCGATACACGTCCGTCTAGACGCTGGTCTCCCGATGCGTCTGTGCTCGCCTCACTCAGACACACACACCGCTGCGCTGTTATTGCTCTCAGAACACTTCATTTGGGTCAGATGACTGAGACCGTGTGTGTGTGTGTGTGTGTGTGTGTCATTATCAGTCCAGTGTCTCGTCTTCAGTTCTCGTAGACTCTTTGATCTCTTTTTCTCTTCTAAAAGGCACATGATTTGTTTTCTTCTCGCCTCCTCCGTCTCTACACTTGACTTCCTCTCAGGGTCAGTCACACACACACACACACCATAAAGAGAGATTTTAATGATGAAAGCTCTCTCTCTCTATCTGAGGTGTTTGACAGTACAAGGAGATGCTGCTAGACAACAGATTACAGCAAATGAGCGGCCGAGAGACACTGACACATTTCTCGAAACTGTTTTTTCTCTCTCACAGCATTCTCATATTCAACATGCACTACACACACACATTCATGTCTCAAATCAACACAAACACAAACAATGGGAGCATTATACAATCATTTAAAGTTTTATACAGTACAACATTTACTGTAAAAAGTGACCAACAAAAATTACATGTAAACCTTCAACATCTGCAGCAGATTTAATAACGGCTGAAATATTGATTAATGTTCAGAGACGAGAGGAACTGTTGCTCAGAGTCTCTAACATCATGAATGAATCATCACTACTGAAGCTCAGACGGATTATGAGCTCAGAAACACACACACACACACACACGCACTGACACACACTGACACACACACAGAAGAGCACAAGATCTTCATCAGAGTGTGTGTGTGTGTGTGTGTGTGTGTGTGTGTGTGTGTGTGTGTGTGTGTGTGTTTGTGTGTGTTTTGTAGTTTTGTGTGTGTTTTGATAAATGGAGCCTTACATAGTTTCCTAAACTGTAAACAAAAAAATTGCATGACACATCTTTGCAGAACAATGACATGTTTATAGTTTACATTTAATTGCATATATTTAAGTGTATGAACACAAACTTTACCATTAATATAATAGGAATTAACAGACAATATGAAGATCTGTGTGTGATCGCCTTGATCATTTGTCCGTTTTTATATAAAATAATACCTTTAAGAACAAAGGAGTGGTAGATCTGCATTACTGACAATAAAAAGATTTTATCATTAATTTTTAAAAGACCACAAAAAGAGCAAGTCTGATCAATGTCATAATATTCATCACAGTATTAAAGATAAATCACATCTTTTTCATTATGCATTGATGTACTTGTATTATTGTCTAAAGGATGAAATGAGAGAGTTAAATTCGAGAATTTTTATTTTTCTAAATATAATGACGTCGCCACATATTCAAGAGATAAATGTTCTGTTTTCATGATATACATCATAAATACTCGTCCTTTTGGCAACACTTGATCCATTACTACACTTTCTCTTCTCTTCTATATCTATTAAAAAAAGTCTAGACTAGTAAGACTAAACTGTGGGTCATAGCACACTTACATATTTATCTCATGGATAAAGCGTCTGCTAAATTAAATGATTAAATGTAATGTTATATTTTCCAATCTTTCTTTTCATTTTTAACTTATTATTTTGAACTTTCTTTTCATGTGAAAAATCTTGCGCATATGTGTGTGTGTGTGTGTGTGTTGTTGCATTTCCTATCTGAGAGATCAATGGCATCTAAAAGCAGAGCTCATGCACTCAGTCAAAGGCCAAGTCTGGCAGTGACGTCATGCTGTCTGCCTCGGGGCCCCGCCCCCTGCGCGCTAACCCCGCCCCCTCGCGGGTTCCCAGCCAACTTGGACTTGAATGAGGTGCTCAGACGGCTGGGAAAGAAAGTAGTACAAACCGTCTGGGAATAACACCGGGAATACTGGAGGAATACAGAGACCAGACACCGGGACCGGGAGGGGGGAACCGGCTGAAGGAAAGCCGTGACAAAAGCCCTCAGATCTACCGGGAAGAAGGAAGAGAAAAACCCTGCGTCAATGTTTTTATTCGACAGCGCGCGGTGAATCCCCCGTTTTTTCCACGTCGATCCCCGTGAGATTATTTTTCTCTAATGTTCAGCTTCATGGGTCTGATGAACGGAACCACCGACACACACACCAATGTCTCCTGTACATGTAACTGCAAGAGATCCACTTCATTCCAGAGTATGGCGATCAGTGAGTATCAGTTTCTCTCTGTTTTCCCTGACGTAACGTTACTTCACCGAACCCGCCGAGCGAACCGATCCGAATCAAACTAGTTCCGTTCGAATCGAATCATCTCGCATTTATACTAGCCCACAGTGTGTTTGTGTTCTCCTCTGGGTGTTTAAACTCATCTTTCTTGAGATAACGAGTCAGATGAACTCCTCTGAAAGTTTTGACGGGAACTAGTTTGTGTCGTGGAAGGATCCGGTTAGTGGGTGAAGCGGTCAGTGACAGTCTATAATCATTAGCTCACATTATATCATCAATCTTTCTCATGCCACACATTCCTAAATATGATGTTCCCTTCGCGAGGGACACCTTTCATAACTAATAACATGATAATCTCTCTCTCTCTCTCTCTCTCTCTCTCTCTCTCTCTCTCTCTCTCTCTCTCTCTCTCTCTCTACAGTTCTCAAAAGTTTGATGTGCAAAACGCTGCATTTATTGCACCAAAGATACAGTAAAAACAGTGAAATATTATTATAATGTTAATCATTTGTTTTCTATGTGAATATAAGTGTAATTTATGTGATTTTCAGCATCATTACTCCAGTCTTCAGTGTCACATGACCCTTCAGAAATCACTCTAATATGATGATTTATTATCAGTGTATTTTTTTTTGTGTGGAACCTGTGATACTTTTTTCAGGATTCAAAATAACAATATAAACCTTTACTGTCAATTTTAAAAAAAGGATCATGTTTTTACAATTTGAACAGTTTTGTTGATCATATAAACACAGCCTTGATGAGCAGAAGAGTTAAAAAAGAACATTGAAAATAATGTTTTTGTGATACTGTGAAAGTGTGTGCAGTTTGATGGTAATGATGTGCAGATCTTCATAAGCTCTCAGTCGTGATCGTTGGATCCGTGTGTATGAGGACGGATGTGGTGTGTTCTCGTGTGACGTTCTGTCTGCCCACAATCCTCGGCTGGGAGTCGCCCGACTAATGCTTAATTTGTAGTGACTAACTCATTGTTCAGATCTGCCCCCTGTTGTCCACAGACTCGTTCATTCCCTCAGTTCTCTTTGATTAACCGTCTTGCAAAATCTGTCTGCCGTTTCCAAATAATCTTTTGTGAAGGAAAAGCTGAGCAAACAGCCAGGTGATGTGAGTGTGTGTGTGTGTGTGTGAGGACTAATGCCACTGTTGTGGAGGAATCGCAGACACTCTTCGTTATCTCTTCCGGTGAATATAATGTTCCTGGTATTTCTTGGCTTGTTTGTCTAGACAGCGACTCGTCTCGCCTGACCGAGGATGTTCTCCGGGAAGGGGAGTTGATCAAGCTGCTTTAATCTGAGGCTCGTCGGGATTCGGTGTGTGTGTGTGTGTGTGGCGAGGGAAGGATTTAGATATTTATATTTTGCTCCGAGAGCCTTGAGAATGAATGTTTCCTGATTGTTGTTTTGAGGGATGGAAGGTTTGTGTGTTTCGGCTCACAGAAAAAACACTTACACTCGAACCGACATTATTCAGACACAGTTTATTCGCTATAATTATAGAAAACGGTGATAAACATGAGCAGAACTCAGAGTTATGAACTTTTGACTGGTTTTGTCCTTCTGTTGGACTCTCACACATGAATTATGTTGAATATCTGTCAGCTGTAAAATTGAACTCCACAATTAGATAATACCAGTTTAGCTCAACCAGTGACCAATCAATGCTTCATGTTGTTCAGTGTGTGTGTGTGTGTGTGAAAGAGCATTAGCACTTACAGAAAACACACTTCAGCAGAACATCATCAGCTCAAAGTGGAGTCATTATTGGTCCCTAATGTCACAGGTAGTCGCTGTATGAAGAATATTTGTGTGTAATATGTCACAGTTTACTATATTTTGCTCTCACATGATCTATAGTGTCCTCCTGCACACACTGAAAACATATCAAAAATGATATCTGGTGTCTGAATGATTTTTGGTTTCAGTCGTGACTCATGAGACCGACCCGTTCATGATCACAGACGCCGGAGAGATCAGACAGAACGACAGACTCACGTCCATCACTGAATCACTTCCACACACACACACACACACAGATAGAAATATCAGGCCAAAGAAAACACAAAACTTTCAGATGTGGTCATATATTGAGCACACGCTATAATCAACATGACATTTACTAACCACACAATGGACTTACAGTATATACAAATAAACTTAAATTGAATTGACAACATTGTGCATGCATAAAATAAATCCTGTTTGAAAGATGTTTTGCATTAATTTCAGACACAAATAAACCCTGCGTCTCATGTTGAATGAAACGGTATTATTAGATCCGAATTAGATTTTTTTTTTTTCAACATCCAAAAGTAACGCTTTCATAATGTTTGGGATCTTTCCTTGTTTTGCATAAACTTTTTTTTTAAAAACTGGATGTTTTTAACATTCAGAAGTAGTGATTTCATAACTTGGTAAACATTTATCTGAACTGGGTTGACATTGGCTGTCAATGTTTTTATTTTTCACCCCCTGGTGTCCTTATTGTTTTATTTTTGGTGTGAATAATTATCGTGTAGTCGATCATTATATTCCTTAAAACTCATCGTTGATCACCAAATTTACATATTTAAGTGTTTAAAATATCTTGAATGTAACTCGACACCCTCGACTCATTTAGTATGCGCGGTTCTATGAATATGCAGATGAGCCCCGCCTCCACTCACTCAGAGATCCACTGGTTGTCGTCTGTCGATCACACGTTGATCTGATTGGTTACAAGGTGGTTTGTGACGTCAGAAACACCAGCGATTTCAAAGTGTGTTTTTGAGACTGTTCCCTTATCAACTTACACACGGTGTGTGTTAAAGCGGATTAAACACACCACACACACACATAAACATATGACTCTGCGTGTGCGCGTTTCATAGTACTTCCATGGGTGTGTATGAGGAGAGATCCCCAAGATA